ATTTAGCCTGTGTGTGTGTGTGTTTGTGTGTGTGTGTGTGTGTGTGTGTGTGTGTGGTTTCATGTGGTCAGATCAGGAGGGAGGAGGTGACGAGGAGGAGCAGCAGATTGAACAGATCATGTTTCAGTTGTTGTCAGTTTTTCACAGGCTCGCTACATTTTCATTAATTAAGTGTCGGATTCTTCATGGATCTTAATTTTTAAAAATCAGGCACATGTTAGTGAGCGTTTCCAGTTTGGTGCATGTTCAAGTAAAAATCTGAATTGAACCATTCTAGTTATTATTGTTGAGGAATTAAAATTTGGTGGAAACAATGAACACGTGGCTACAAGTGGTGAACTGGGGGGAAAGCCTGTGCTCACAACCTGCGTGTGTGTGTTTGACCTTTCAATCTCCAACTGCTCAGGACTTTGCCGTGTCCACTGTCCCCGTCTGTGGTGGAGCCCGACTGAAGAACATCTGCTCCATGGGAGGACCAGACACGATCATCATCAGCAACAGTGACGGGGCCAAGAAGACACTCCGGGTATAATCATGCATGATACATACTGTATATCCTTTAGTATGGGGCAGAAACAAATACTGTGTGTATTTATTTGTGAATAGTGATTTAGAATACTGACAGTGCAGTAGTTTGTTTTGGAGATTAATTGTATTGATGACATTATTGAAAATCACGAGCAGTTAAATAAAAATAATGAGTCATTATTTATGATTTTTTCATTTCATGAACTATTTCTCTGAGTATTAGAAAATCATTCACAAGCCAGACTCTGTTCTCCTCTCTGTCCTAATGTGAACCACACTCATCATCAGAACGCTGCTGAGGTCATATTATTGATGGTGTTGTCCTCGAGTGTGTGTGTAATGCAGGGTGTGGTCTTCTGCAATAAGTGTGTGTGTGTGTCTCCGTCTCCAGATGATGGAACAGCTGACTGACCACCACTATGAAATCCTGACGGTCCCAGAGGAAGCAGCCGCAAACTGCGTCTACATCAAAGGTCCATCGAAACGTGACTTCCTGCTGCACCGGCCTGCAGAGGAGTGTCCTGAGAGCATCTCTGTGAGTTCACACACATATTCAAATTAAAGGATTTTCATCTTCACTTCATTCTGCCCAACGATTATAGCTGCATTTCCACAGCTGCAACTTTCCCCAGGAACTAGGAACCTTTGCAGGAACTTTGTGTTTCCATCGCAGGCACCAGGAAAATCTAAAAATATAACATTCAAACACTACAGGTTATAATTTGACTACGAGGACAGATGTGTCGTCGGAGTATTTGTACAGTAGGAAAATGTGACGGAAACGGGAATTATCATTAAACGATTAGAAAAAGCTGAGTAGGTGTTATTGTTGCTCTTTGCAAAGTTTCTATTTACAGTCATCTTACTTTGACTCATGAAGAAGAAAAGGGGAAACAAAGGTTTTACCGTCTATCGCTAAAGTCATGGTGTGATTTCTTCCTGATGCATCCTCCAATTCTAGCCAGTGAAGCATTTTTTCCTTCTTTTGCTGGACTTCCTTCTTTAAATCTGTTCTTCCAGCTCAGTGTGTTCCACAGCAGATGAGTGTGCGTCTGGATGAGTAACGTGTTTCCTCTCCGCAGGCGTTCCAGAAGCTGCAGGACTACACCCTCCTGCCTACGGCCTGCAGCGAGGCCTCCAAACTGGGGGCGTCTCTGTCGTCGCTCTGCCTCCTCATCAACAGAAAACACACGTATTTCTGAAAGGTTCAGAAGCTAAGTACATTGCACAGCATTTAACCTGCACGTGTTCATGTAGCAGTGGAGGCCTCACACACTTTCCACTCATCAAAATTCTTGTCTATTTATTCTTAAAGGAAACACTGACATGCAGTATTTGTATGAAGGAGAGTATGATCCAACTGTCGCTGTGGTAAACAAGCTGATTGTTGCCTCAGCTGCCCCCTGTTGGACAAAGTGAGGTCCGTTAGTCTTAAAACCACTCGATGAAACCACTGAACTCATCTGTAGTTTCTCACTGTTTCACTCACTTTGTAGAAACTGACTAGTGTGTAAAATAAAAACATTTTAATTTTGACTTTTTATAATATCACACTGCCCTTTTCATTTTGATGAATCTAAACTTGATGCTTTACGCTGTTTATAACCTTGTGGTACTTAAGTAAAATCAGTTTATAGCTTTAACATTATAATAGTTTGGTATTAATTTCATTAAAAATGACATGTAGCTGCCAAGTACAGGTTGCTTTTTAATCTGCTTTAACTTTCAATGTATGAATTTGTAGCTGCTGTAGATGTCAATAAAATTCAACTGCTAACCAGATACGCTCTTCATCTTGCTCCTGTTTAGTTTACTTGGAACATGTGACTAAAACAGTATAAATACAGATGTGCAGTTAATCCTGTTAAGTCTGAAGCGCTCATTCATCATAGCGGTGATTGAAGGCTGCAGTTTGCGTTTCTGTTTAAAAGTATTGCATTTTACCAATAGATGTTTATATTTGTCCCATTATTAATGAAGGTAGGCTAAATAAACACCTGTATAACACCACAAATAACTATATCCTTAAACTAGAAAACCCTACAATCAACATCCTCATTTCAATAGTTTGAGATTTTACTCCCTGTCAAAACATTTGAGTAAAAACCTGGAGCCAAACAGAAGTTTCTTCAAATTTATTTGTTTTGTTAGAAAGGAAACATGTTTAACGGTTGGATTTGGCGACTCTCTCCAACTCGTCCTTCTTCTTGATGGCGTAGGAGTTAGATGAACCCTGAAACGACAGATTCAAAGTTTAAAATACATCACAAGTCATGTTTATCAGACCTGATGTCATCTCTCACCACTTGTCATTGGGGACAACGAGGAAGACAAATACAGAATTTAAAACAAGGTTTGATGGAAAACGATGAGCCAGTAGGAATGCGTTCACTCTTGTTGCACAGTGCTCATGCTGTAAGTGAATAAACATTCACCTTAGCTGCGTTGATCAGCTCATCAGCCAGACACTCGGCGATGGTCTTGATGTTCCTGAAAGCAGCTTCTCTTGCTCCTGTGCACAGCAGCCAGATGGCCTGAGACAAAAAAACAAGAGGTGAAACAATCTGACAAATCCACATCAGAGAAATAAAACACAGATTGTTGGTGAAATGTATCTGAGCTGGTGATTGACTGGGCCACATGAGACTACAGCCAATGAATAAGCAAAGACACGTTCCTCTGCGAGCACTCTAGCACACCAGAACAACGGGTTGTATCCAGGCGTGACTCTAGCCTCGCTTAGTGCACAAAGTAGTAAACAGATAAATGCGCATTGTAAAAATAAAGCAGCGAATAGAAGATTTTAATTTTAATTCCACATATTTGAAAAAAAGGAAAAAGCAGCTTTCAAAGTAAACAGGTGTGGTCATATCACCTGGTTGACTCTGCGGAGGGGCGACACGTCCACAGCCTGTCTCCTGACGGTACCGGCACGACCGATACGGGTGGAGTCCTCACGGGGTCCACTGTTGATGATGGCGTTCACCAAGACCTGAAGGGGATTCTGGGAAGGACATTTTAAATAGTATTTAGAAATCTCCAAATCAATACACAACATGTTGCAACACTGACACCATGTCTGTATTCTGCTTAATGTGGTGTTTCGCCAACAGTGATATTATTCAGTATCGCTCTCACACCAGAACAGCTTGTGGCTCCTGTTTACTCGTTACACTTTGACAACAGACTTCCTCGTGTCGTCTTCATCGTGCCTAACATAGTGATCAACAAAGAATGGAAGGTGTTGAACATTTGCCGTGTGTACCTCTCCGGTCAGCAGGTGGATGATCTCGAAGGCGTGCTTGACGATGCGCACGGTCATCAGCTTCTTGCCGTTGTTGCGGCCGTGCATCATCATGGAGTTGGTCAGACGCTCCACAATGGGGCACTGGGCCTTACGGAAACGTTTGGCGGCATAACGGCCTCCAGAGTGTGGCAGGTACTTGGCGTACTTCTCTTTCACTGCAATGTAATCCTGCAGAGACGAGGGGGCAGATTAAGTGATGTGGTTCATACAGGTTTGATTTGAGAATATTTTAGTACAATATGGAGACATCATGTATCTGAGCTGGTGATTGACTGGGCCACATGAGACTACAGCCAATGAATAAGCAAAGATGTTTTCCTCTGCGAGCACTCTAGCACACCTGAACAACGGGTCGTATCCAGGCGTGACTCTAGCCTCGCTTTGAACGATCAAATCAAAAAAATAACAATCAGCTGAAGCGGAGGGAAAGCTCACCTGCAGGGAGATGTCATTGATCTGGACATCATCGGTGCTCCACTTGCCAAAGAGCTTGATCTCCGGGGTCTCAGCCACGGCTGGGGCAGTCTCCCACTCAGTCACTGAAGATAAAGAGACAAAATGGATAATTAATGATTGGTAACAACATCCAGGCATGAGTCAGAAGAATGGCTCAATGACAAACAACTTCTGAATTCATGTTATAAATAACTGTACTTATACACAGAACAAGGACTGAGGAGTAGCTCACCTCATCATTTATATCAAATACATCAACCGATATAAGATGACTTAGTGCCCCACAGGCAAAACAGTGTGTTGCACTTAATTAAACCAATTTAATCATATTTCAGGAATTAATAGTTATACATCTACGTGGATGAAAGCAGGAAGTGCAGCCTCACAACATGAAACAAAGTTACCAAATCAAGTAAAACCGTGAGTTCGATTTATCGTTGTGCTGCAGACAACATCTCAAACTTTACGACAAAGCAGAAAACTGTGAACGTGAGATCAGAGCAGGTAGAAGTCTGTGTCACAGCAGGGCCGGAGCCTGATTCCAACATGGAAGCTGATAAACCAGCGTTATAATGACGATATAAAGCATCTTTAACCGGCGGTGTGTTTTCATACACTGACTTTATCACAATACGGATCCAAACGAACAAGATTTTTTCGGCAATAAGCCTCTGGAGGTGAAATCTAACGACTTCTATCCCGCGCTGGTCGACATGCCGCATCCACACGTGCTAACCAGCTAGCCTCATGCTAACGCTAAGCGCCGTTGAGGCATTTAGAGGAAAATAAAACCTCGTTTCCGCTGAACTAACTCTTCCGCCTGTTTCTACTCGATCACCGGGATCGTTACGAAGCTTCTTCCACGCGATCGCATTCGTTTCGGAGACGAATAAACCGAGTAAAAGGAGATTTTCTCACTCACTCGTGTCTGTCGCTCTGTACGACGCTGCTCACAGACGGGAAAGGGCCTCTGGCAGCGCCGCAGACTCATATCCGGTGGACTGGCCGGGCACTTCCGGCGAGCAAGGCATGCATGGAAATGTAGTCCTGGAGTTCAACGGGCCGGTAAATAACAAGGAAGATGAAATGCTGCAGGTGTTGTCCTTCAAAATTGAGCTCCCGAGCACTGACAGTATTATTGTGACTATTATTATTATTGTTAAACTCAATTGAAAATTCAAAAAGTGGTGGAAATGTGTGGTTTCTGGAGTATTTTAAAATGGGCATGGCAAAAATAGCGCCCCCTAGGATGATTCAAGATTCAATCACAGCACAACACAACCCCCCCCCCCCCCCCCCCCCATAAAACATAACATATATCTGTGGATGTAAAATACATAAACACAGAATAAATTTAAATGCATTGAAAACTAATGAAACTTTATCCTTCTGTTATTTTATGACGGGGGGGGGGGGTTCAGTGCATTTATGCTCAATAAGTACAATTGTGTGCGTCACAATAAAACACACAAGCCTATTTGTGCTCTCAGAATTTGACTCCAGCATCTGTTGGTTTCATGCAACAGAGAGATTGTTCAGGAAGATAAACATGAGTTAGTAACCCCAGTAAATATTTATCCACTATGTGACGACCCCCTCCACCCTCACCTGGACACTAGGTGTCGCTGTTCTTGTTTCGCCTGAGCCGTGGGTGGAGGTGACATCAGCTACAATCAGAGCACACCTGGGCCCGGGGTGCTCTGTCCTTTAAAAGGCCTCTTCTATGTTTGTCTCTTGTTGTCTGTGAGGGACGAGGTTGTCGGTCCCTGACGGCAGCAGCCCTTAGTTTGTGGACGCACATTGTGTTATGGTTCCTGTCTTGTTTCTTGTTTTGCTTTAATAAATGTCTGTAAATATCCGTCAACATGTGTCCTCGTCCTCCTTGTCACGGTCTTGTGAGCTCTGGTGAGTAGGCTGACGTGTGTCTCTGGAGTGTGTGTGCAGTGGTTGTGAGTCTGTGTGTTGCTGTACGGGTGATTCCTGGTGGCATTTATCTCGAGTGTGTATACAGTCGTAAGTTGCTGCTGTTCTGTCCCGGTTAGGCTGAAGAGTGGATTCCCTTTGGAGTTCGCTGGGGTTGGGTAGTGCGGTGTGAACGTGGTTGGAGCAGTTGTCTCGGGAGCACGTCCGAGGCTGCAGGTGGAGTCGCCAGTTTGGTTGCTTCACCGGGCCTGCGGGTTTTAGTGCGTAAATACCCACCACAACTAGCACCTGAAGACTAGGGGGGAGCTTTAGTCAGGTTCTGGTCAGGCAGTCAGCGGGACAGCGCTGCAGGGACGTGTTGCTTTATGAGAGTGGCCGCAGGATTTAGTCCCAACCAGCTTGTGTTTGGTCAAACGGTGCGTGGGTCTTTAACATGGCTGCATGATGAAGTGGTGTTCTCTGAATCTGCTCGTTCAAGTGAATGGTTTTCGGCACAGGCTGTACCTGGCTGGGAAGAAGGCCAGGGGAAATTTTGCATCTGCTCAGAAGAAGATGACAAATCATTATGACCGTGGGTCAAAGACTCACAAGTTCAGACCAGGAGACCAGGTTCTAGTTTCCATTAGTGTTCACACTTTCAGCCCAAGTTCCACGGCCAAGTGTCTGAGCAGAGTTACCTGCTCTCTACACCAAAACGTAGAAAGTCAACTCAGCTCTGCCATGTGAATCTGTTCAAGCTTTATTATACTCGTGAATCACCAATTTGTGAAATTGGGGTGTGCCACAGCAGACTGAGGCCTGGGTTGGTGATGGACACTATGATGGAACTCCCACTTGCTGCTGATGTGTCTGTGCATGAGGAAGATGTGGTTTCACATGATGGAAGCCTGCGCTGTGGGTGTTTGACAAATTCTGTGTCATTGTGTGATTTTAAAATCTGTGTTTGACCGGTGTGATGAACTGATCTGTTTTGGTCAACAATAATTTGTTTGTTTAATGTTTCAACTCTTGCACACTTGTTGGAGCATGACATTGATGTAGGTGATGCACAACGAGGTTTTCTCAGGCAAAATGTGAGGTAATGGGAAAAATAAATAAAATACATGCTAGACAACCACATGGCTGAACCGTCAGCTTCCAGTGAACTTGGCAAAGTGTGAGTTTGCCATGTTCACCGTTACCTGTCTGGCTAAGGTTGTGGGGAAAGGGCAAATGACACGCATATGTTTTTTGGGTTTGGTGGGATACTACTGCAATTTTAGCAGGAACTTGACAAATATGTTGAAGGCTAGATTTTGCCTGATTAATTAGCTGTTCTACATAAGTACTTTTACTGTATCTTTATACAATGACATTACTGAGAGGAATGTACCTTTTACTCCCCTCTTTTATTTGAAAGCTGAGGTATGATCAGAATATTTGTCATGTTTCTGCTGCATTTTCTTTTTACTCATAACATAAGAAAATGTCTGACTGCATGATTCTTGCTACTGTATCAGTCTGTGTTAGTTTGGTTCATTTAAGGTATTCTGCGTCGTGAGCTGATCAGACTGTGACAGTTGAAATAAAAGAAACCTGGAGCAGATGTTCAAAAACAGCCTTTTATTGAGGACTTGACAAAATTTGACACATTTTCATTTTAAGATCAAATACTGTAGAAACTGTGGGATAATGTCAAAATAGCAATTTCTGTTTGAGTTTTAAAAAAGTTGTTATATCCACATTTAATACCTGCAAGAAGACTGAGCTGAGAGGACGTCCCTTAAATCCTTAATCCATATGCAGTGGCTGAGGGTCAATTCATTTTTAACAAGCATAGAATTACAATAATTAAAATTTAGAAACTTTAAATACTTAAAATCCCTCTTTATCGTTTCCCTTCATCTGGCTGAACATTGTGCAACAGTAGTTCACTTCTTTTGTTTTAAAAATCACATATTAGATATTTGAATTTCTTCTTTGACAAATATCTGCAAATACAACAGGCAGTAAATATAACATCCAACAAAATGCAAAGTTACAAGAAACAAATCCCTTTTTCTAACAGAGACAAACGTTGCTCAAACGCCTGAGATATATTAACGCGATGGGAGGTAAAGAGCGACACGTACAATAGTCTGGTGGCCACGTTAACACTGACACACCACTGCCGCTCTCCAGCCACTCCACGTCTCCATCATTATAAACACCGACACGAGGCAGTGGGTCGTAGCACTTCGGTAATGGACATGAAACACTGAGGCATGGGGGGGGGGAATATTAAGGCTTGATCTATGAAAGTGATATAGTACAGCTCCGAAGCACTGCATGATAATAACATCAAGATGTACACACTAAAAAAAAAAAGGATTAAAAAGACAAATTCGTAAGATGAGTCTGTACATGTGGATGACAGTACGTTGCTCAGGCACTGTTGTGGGGGTGTTTCTGAGGTATGTGTGAGGAAACACACGGACACATGGGTAACTATGAGGGCTCGGTATTTGATAGTAAGAAACTCACTTCTATATAAATTAAAAGGGCACTCCACCAATTTTTAGGTATTGTTTGAAAAGGGGGGTAAAGTCGCCCATCTCTCCCGAAAGACATTCATTTTGTCGCATTTGTGTTCACATCAAAACTGATGGAGAAAATCATGTAAGGAATAAAAAAGGAGAGCTATCGAAAGAAGCCTTCCAAGCATTAGACAGGTACAGTAGAGAATCTTCTAGAATAGAAGTCTCTGCTCCGTGGATTTTTAGATCTTTATCTTTTTCATCTGTTTCTTCCTGAAAATGCAAATCCACAGAATGCTCCTTTAATGTCGGCTATGCTTTCCCTTTGCCGAATGTGATAATATGATCAAAGTCAAACCTTTACCAGGTTTATAAAAGTATTTTCATCTGTGTTCGATTTGACTGACACAGTCTTAAATTTAAATGATCGTGTTTTTGGTCTCAGAGTTGGATGAGAAGGTTGATATCGCTCATGTTAATGAAGTAATAATGAACCCACAGTACATACAACAGCTGGTTAGCTTAGCTTAGCACAAAGACTGGAAAAAGGGAGGTAACTGTTAACTTGGCCCTGTCCACCTAGAAAAATCCAAGTGTTAGCTTCATATCTATTTTACAGTTATGAGAGTGGCACCGACCTTCTCATCAAACTGCAAGAAACCAAGTATCACACTTTCCAAAATGTCAAACTATTCATTTTAAAGTAACCCCGTAGACAACAGGATGAACATAAGAACAAAATGAATCTTGAAAAACATAAACAAGGATAAAAAATAGGAACGTTTGATTGACAGGAGATCTCTGTGAAGTGTAATCCAAAGTGTGTTAACGTCCTTAAAACTCACAAATGTTTGTGAGGATACTACAAAATGATTTCCAGACCCGAGTTTCATACAGGTGGAAAGTTTAGAGCTTATAAATCTGCAAACTGTGTACCTCTTTGTGTGCGTGTGTGTGTGCGTGTGCACTGGAGTTTTGTTCACACCAGCCACTTCTCCATACACGTGTGGAACACAGTCTCGTTCGAGTGCCACAAAGTGTGCACGACGCCGGGAACAGAACAGATGATCAGATCCCCACGAGCCGCCAGCGTCTTCAGACCAAAAACATCTCTCAAGTACAACTGGAACGAGACGAACAAAACCCACAGTTAGTTTAGTTCGCAGGCTCCATCGAAGCTTTAAATTGAATATTGTCGGTCTCTGTTTCCAGTGGACTTATGATTGTACAGACGAATAACACTGGACTGACCAAAACTTTAAAACTGGGATGATTTCGAACCATGTTCCACACTTACAGTATATATTATATTAAGAATGTAAGAATCAGTCAGTGTTGTGTACACGTGTGTCTGTTGCATGGTGCACACTCACATCTTGCTGCTGCATTTCCACAACGGTCTCATTGTCGTCGTAAAATCCGAACTGACTGTAAAATCCGAGACAGGAGGAAATAATGTGTGAGAATCACATGAGAGTCATCAGATCATAAAAAAACAATCTTCCTAATGTGTGAACAGAAAGTGGAAAAAACAGACGACAACCACCAAACTGTTCTGTTTTCCTGTGGGAACCATGAGTACGAGCAACATTCAGTGAAATCCATTAACCCTGGTTTCTTAAGAGGTATTTAAGCATCATGTTCAATTCAATGCAACCGGCAACTTAATTCTATAGAGTAGAAAACAACTTTCATTTTGTCAAAGCGTGAAAATAATGAGCCACTATGTTGATTCTTTACAATTTAATCACATGTGCAGTGTTTTCACAGATTACTGGGAAACAGATTGGTCTGTAAGAAAGATCCAAACATGAATTCACAAAGTTAGTCAGGTTTAAAATCAATGAGAGCAAAACTAGTTTGCAGGAAACTAAACAGGAGAGAGGATGAACTCACCTCGACTGCCAGGGAGTGATGACGCCGTCGTCTGGTCCACCGATCAACACCAGCTTACTGATCTTGAGGAAGTTTTTCTTCCACTCTGAGATTTAGAAGTGAAACACCGAATAGATAAATGTACTGTTGCTGAAAATTACATGTGTTTGGTTTACTCTCAGGAATAATCTCCTACTAAACAAATGCGCTGACCTGTTGAATTTGGATTAGTTCTCTCGCTGTTGAGCAGAGCCAAATAATCACTGCTGTTCACATACAGGTCTCTGTGGTGAGGGTCTGGAGAGGGAGAGATGACAAACAACCAGTACGTCATCCTGTGACTCACAGGGCTTTACAGGCTCACTCAGTCTGTGTGTGAGATGTTCCAGATGGTCTCACCGTTCCAGTAGTTGCAGATGGATATTCTCTGACCGAACGCAGTGTAGCAGAGGTGGAAGAGGTTGGACTTGACAAACTGAGGGAAGAGGTACTTTAAGTAGTCTGTGTCTGAAAGGGAAACAAGAGACGAGATCAGGAGCTGGAGAGAAGAACTCAGTCCAGAAACAAGTTGACACGTCATCACACAGAAAGTCAAAATCTCTTCAGCTAGTGAAGTTGAGCACACCTCCATATTGCCCGGCCTGAGGCGAGGACAGAGAGATGAAGGAGTGGACGTTGTGGTTGGGCAGAGTGGAGAGGATTCCTCTGCAAACCAGCCCACCTGTAAAAACAAACAGAATATTTCCCATCGGGCTTTGAGCATGCAAATAGGACACTGCAAAGTACAAATGTCACCACGTCATGTACTTCTCTGTTCTATGCGTACGACAATTTAGTGTTTGAATCTAGTGAGTGTATGTTGTCTTTGTTAATCAACTTGTTTTTCCCACTTTTGATTATATTAAATACATGTAATGTTATTTTACACATTAATGTACCTGAAAATACAGGACTTTTTCACCAGGAAATTCATTTGAAATCCAAACTTCTTTGAAGAAACAAAGAAATCTCCTTTGTGCAAACATTTTGTTCCCCTGGTTTTTACAAACAGGAACATTTAGAGCTGCTGGCTGGGAATTTCCAACTTCTGACGAAAGTAAAAATCATAAAAATGTGTCATAAAAAAACCTTATAACAAAGAAAGACAAAAACAAGAATGAAGTACTTTAGAGTCTTAAGTGTTGTTCTGAGGTCAGGATAAAGTAATAAATTAAAAACCTGCACGAACACATTCACAGACCTTGAGAGTAGCAAATGAAATGGACGCCGTCTGCTGCGTTTTGCATTATTGGATAAATAGCTGCCTTGAATCCCTCCACCTGCTTCCACATGGGCTGCAGGCTGGCACTTCTGTCAAACAAGTCGATGATGGTCACATTTGTTCCAGGGTGAGACTGCAGGAGAGAGCAGGAGTGGAAGTTAATCCTCAGGTAGAATAAAAACACGAGCCTTAGCTTTTAAACACTTTCCCCACTGAGCATTTGTATTTTCAAAGATCCTCGGGGAACATTTGGCTTCTGGTTAACCAGGATGTGCTTTAAATATCAGTGATTCACAGACGGCAGGAGCGCAAACCAACTGAAGCAGAAAGAGCGAGGTCTGAATTTGCACTTTTTTTCTTCTTACAACTTTCTAATACAGCGGGGGTGTAAAAACAGGAACTGAAACTAGATTCAGCTTCATTGACCTTGTCATTGTCCTCGGAATTAAACCTCCTGCAGCGAAAAAACATCACCACCCATTCATCTGAACCAGGCTATTCCCACCCAAACTGAGTTTCAGTGAGTTTCAAAAGGTGTGGGGGGGGGCGTGTATGTGTATTAAAGTACGTATCTGTCTCCCACTGTGGACGTTCTCAGATCATTGGTGGTTTTAATTTAGGTTTATACTGCAGAACTGCAACAGGTAATGAATTAGTTATATCAACAGGAAAAAGCCTCTGAAATTCTCTGTTTCATCGCATATTTAACTTTTATTTTTTCCTGTTGATGATAGTTTGGACTCTGAGAAAGCCTGATGGACATTTTTCCAATATTTCTTTCAACATTTTAAAAACAAATCAATGAGTTGAGTCAAGTATCAGCCGATTAGTCAGTGACAAAAAAAATACTCGTTGGCTGCGGCTCTACTGGGAATCTTGTGAATTCCAATATAAAGATGAACACATTCTGATTTTAACCTATAATAATACAGGATCATCTATTTGTGAGTGGAATGTTGTCATTTTAAAACTGCAAAGTAAGGGTAGTCTTCAAACACCTGTGGAGTAAAAGTACATCTGCCTCTGCGAAGGCGAATTAAATGGAAATACTCAAGTAGAGAACCTAAATATTGTAGTCGAACAAGGTACTTGAGTAAATGTGCAGGACTGTCTCCATTGCAGACCCGTGGCTCCACCATCACAGTGGAGAGAACACAGTGTCTCTGAGGTGGTGATGTAAGGCCTGTGTTGTTGTTGTGAGGAGAAACTGGACCATTACACACGTTTCTGCAACGAACCCCCCACAGGAGAACCTCGTCTCTCCTCTGCCCACTCACCTCGTTGATGAACCGCTGTAAGTTTTTAAAATCCCCGGAGCTGTCGAACAAACCGTGGACGATGATCACCGGCTTGTATCCGACCACCGCAGCCCAGAGACACGCACCCAGCAGCGGGTACAGGAGCCCGGCCGCCCCGCTGCTGCTTCTCCTCCTCCGGCTCGACATGACTGAGTGTGAGCCCTTCATTTAGACTCAAAGTGATGATTTAAAAAATAAATAAATAAAAAA